GGGCCTTAATATTATGACTTAAGGTAGATTCCTTCATTGCGGGGTATAGGGCCCTTAATATTATGACTCAAGGTACATTTCTTCATTACGGGGTATAAGGCCCTTAATATTATGACTCAAGGTAGATTCCTTAATTACGGGGTATAGGGGCCTTAATATTATGATTTAGGGTATCTTCCTTCCCAGACCCCCGGGAGGATCCCAAAAGTAGATCCCCTAATTTGGGACCCTAACTACTAAAGGGTACCTTGTTAGGAACCCTCTGAAGGGATCTACTTTTGGGATCCTCCCGGGGGTTCTGAATATTTATGATTTAAGGTAGATTCTATCATTACGGGGTTTAAAACGGCCTTAATATTATGATTTGGGGTATCTTCCTTCCCAGACCCCCGGGAGGATCCAAAAAGTAGGTCCCCTAATTTGGGACCCTAACTACTCAAGTTTAAAACGGCCTTAATAATTATGATTTGGGGTATCTTCCTTGCCTAAGGGCCCTTGGGCTCAGTTGAGTCAGGGCGCCGCCAGTTCCCGCTTCGCTCGGCTGCGCCTCCCAGGGCCCCCCTACGGCTTCCAAGCTTAAGGGGAAGGGCTTAGGGCTTAGGGCTTAGGGTTTAGGGTTTTAGGGTTTAGGGTTTGGGGTTTAGGGTTTTTAGGGTTTAGGGCTTAGGGCTCTAGGAACTGCTGCTTTGTCGTTTTTTGAAGGAGAGGGGTGGAAGTCGTTTTGGGGAATCTGCGCGTCGAGGACAACACTTTCGACTCTGGTGCTCTAGTGCCGTCATTTACCGAATCAGCCGCATTGGTGGGCCAGAGAAGGCAGCCAGCCCCCTGAGGCTCCAGCAAATGACGCAGTTCTGGTGTATGATGTTGACCTCATGGCACGCAGAAGTGCTACTTGGAGCTTCATGGGTAGTTATAAGTGGGGTTATAAGTCCCCTAATATGGGTTATAAGTATAGTTACCCTACTTATACCTCCATTTATAGCTACGCATGAACCTCCAAGTAGAAAGAAGGCTCAACCCTGCTAGAGCAGGTCCCGCAACCCTCCTTTTGCTACGGAACGCAGAGCTTGAAATGGCTCAACATAGAGTTGTTGAAACCCACCGCGGGCTAGGCACAGCTTGCGAGGGTGACGGTAAGGACACGGTTGAGGATGGAAGGCCCTTCTGGAGCCCATGAGGGCTTCCGCGGGCTGCACTGCTGGGCGCATTATGCAGTCAACGAAGTAGGACTCTCATGAAAGGCACACCATGCATGCACTGCGGCAAGCGCCAGCATGCCAAGTCCAAACATTTGGGTCCTCTAGTAGGGTAAAATAGTATAGGCAATCAGGTATTGTTCCGAGCGCTCCGAGGGCAGTAGGAATCATTGAGAGTGCAGGGTGGCTTCGGTAGCTGCAAATGCGAAGTGCCTCTTGGGTTTAGCGCTTAGGGTGTAGGGTGCAATTGCAAAAGCCCCCCTTTTTGTGGTCCCCTGAGCCCGAATGCTCGGAATCACAGCCCAAGGCTGGTCAGACCATGCTTGATTATGTTGTAGTCTAGATTATACTATAGTATCTACTAAACACTAAGTGCAACCTCCTATCTAATCATGGCATCCAGTAAATGGATAACTTGGTTTCCCTGTAGCCTCGTAGAAACAAGGGTGCCCTTTTCCCTGCTTTTTGGTTTTTAATAAGGGAACCCAAAAAGAAGAAAGGGGCAACAGGGTCCTACTGGGCAACCTAAAACCCTAAACCCCTAAACCCTAAACCCCTCGACCCTAAACCCTAAACCCCTAAACCCCTAAACCCTAACCCCTAAACCCTAAACCCCTAAACCCCGACAGGAACAGGTCCGTGCGACCTCCAGTCCAAGCAGCCGCAGGGCCGAAAGCAGCACCGCGGCAGCCTTCGGCGCACGACGGCGGACCTCTAAAAGATGGGATTTAGGATTTAGGATTCAGGGTTTGGAGTTAAGGGGTTTAGGGTTTAAGGGGTGTAGGGTTTAGGGGTTTAGGGTTTAGGGGTTAGGGGTGTAGGGTTTAGGGTTTGGAGTTAAGGGGTTTAGGGTGTAGGGGTGTAGGGTTTAGGGGTTTAGGCTTCAGGGGTTTAGGGTTTGGAGTTTAGGGCTTAGGGTGTAGGGCTTGGCGTTTGGAGTTTGGGGTTTAGTGACCTCAACAGAGAGTACCAAGGGGACTTGATCGTACTAGAAGCTGTTACTGCGAGGGGTTAGCCTAAGGGATGTACTCTGAGATCAAACAGAGAGGCGACTCATTAGTACTAGATTCTAGCAGGGGCTACTTCAGGGTTTTAGAAGGGTTCTAGGGTTTACGACCGTACTAATGCTCTATGGGCTCTACGGCATTCTAGGGCTTGGAGTTTGGGGACTCAGGGTTTAGTTTGCTTGTGGATCTCCGCCTATTATGCAGGACTGTGCGCAAACTTTGGGATGCAAGGCTTGCGTTTAGTGTATACCTGTAACCCAAAAGATCTACCTTTTTTTAGGAATTATAAATAAATAAATAAATAAAATAAATAAATAAATAAATATATATATATATAAAAGAATAAAGAACCCTAAAAAGGCAGATCTTTTCGGCTACAGGTAGGGGCCGGTAGGGGTTTAGCGTTCATCTGCTGACGGCCGGTGTGTCGGGATCAAAGCCCGAAAGCCTGGGCCTCAAAACCCAAATCCTAGATGGGCTCTGGCCCTAAACCCTAAACCCTAAAACCCTAAACCCTGAAACCCTAAACCCTTAAACCCTAAAACCCTAAAACCCTAAAGCTCTAAAACCCCAAAACCCTAAAACCCTAAACCCGTTTGGCCTGGCTTCGGTGACAACGCCAAATCCTACACACCTGAGCCCTGAAACCCGAAACCCCAAGCCCTCGATCCCAAAGCCTAAACCATCAACTCTAAACCCTAAAACCGTCAAGTGCCAAGACCTAAACCCTAAAACTTTTCAATCCTAAACCCCAAATCCAGCCCTCAACTCTGAAACCCTAAATCCTAACCTCAAACCCTAAACCCTAAACTCATCGAAATGAAGGAATATACCTGCAAACGCCGGGGCCTTCATCTTATGTTTTCCGGTATATTCCTGATATTACCCTAAGCCCGAAAGCCCTAAACAAAAAGCCCTAAACCCTAAACCCTAAAGCCCTAAAGCCCTAAACCAAAAACCCAAAGCTCTAAACCCTAAAGCCCTAAAGCCCTAAGCCCTAAAGCCCTAAAGCCCTAAAGCCCTAAAGCCCTAAGCCCCTAAGCCCCTAAGCCCATCGGGCTTTCTGGGGAAACCCTGAAGGGCCCGTGCGAGCCGCTGCAACAGGGACGTGAGGAGTGAAGGCCTGCGCAGCAAGAAGGCTAGGCCTTTTTTCCTTGTTTTTTTTTTCAGGGTTTGGGGATTTGCAGCAAGAAGGCTAAGCCTTTTTCTTGTCTTTTTTTCCCAGGGTTTAGGGATTATAGGTTCCTAAATTTTGGGGGTTTGGGGGTTTAGGGTTTAAGGATTCCTAGGGTTTAGGGGTTCCTCAACCTGCAACACAGACCGAAGAGGTTCTATCATTATTTGTTCGCGGAGCACAATACAAAACTACGTGCAAGTATGTCTAGACAAATACGTCTATAAATAAATAAATAAACAAATAAATAAATATAAATATAAATATAAATATAAATATAAATATAAATATAAATAAATATAAATAAATATAAATATAAATATAAATATAAATAAATAAATAAATATATATATATATATGTACACCTACGTATATCCACAGATCCTTTTCTAGAGATGTATATGTCTCGAACAACTAATTCCTGTGGTGGTGGTGGTGGCCTTGTGCAGTGCGCATGCTTCGCCTTTCGCATCAACACTCGTGAACACTGCTGCCGCTTATTTTACACCGAGGGCAGTCAATCAAGGCACCCAGATGTAGCCATATACACAACGCGGATTGTCTATGCCACCCGCCCGGTAGACGGTCTTGGGTTCCCATCTCCTTGCTCCATCCTCATCTTTGGGCATCAGCACTTTGCAGGTCTCACGGCATATGTAGTCGCCGTCATCCAGCCTTGTTAGACAAAGTCAAGCTGACGAAAAGGACACTCTGGGCGAAAGACCAAATAGCCTTACGAGAACTAATTCGCAGTTCAGGCACATGAATCTTGCACTGGTCTGTGCAGGCTTGATGACCTTGTCATCTTCATTCTTCCACTTTCCTGCCGAACCTATGCAATTATCGAAGATGGCCATGACGTTGCCGAAATCCAAGAACTTTTTGCCATTGCAAAGTGCTTTTCCACAGTTCCTCAGTTGACTGGCATTTGCTTGAGACATGCATCGTCACGGGTGTCACCTACCCTAAACCCTAAACCCCTCAACCCTTAACCGAACGGTACGAAAGCAGAGCCAACGGGGTTGCTGTGCTTTCCAAAAATCCCACCGCCCCAGTCTTCCTCCTGTTCGATGCCATCGTTTGACCTTCGGGACTTTAGGGTTTAGTGTTTAGGGGTTTAGGGGTTTGCGGGTTTACGGTTTCGGGGCAAATCAATATCATGCAACGTAGCAGATGTATCCTCGCTGCAGGTTATAGGCGGCTCACAGCTTGCACGGGACCACCAACAAATGCAGCAAGTGGGAAGGGATCGTGGAATCCAGAACTGGAATGTTGCACAAGTGCTGTGTTTTCTTTATAGACAGAGCCAGCAACACAGGAGGTTCTGGATAGGCAGCTTGTCTGGTCCTAACCCAATTACCTTCTCTGCCATACAATCGCTTTTGCCTGTGCAAGCATCCAGGCTTACTGCTGACAACTGCTTTGATGCATACCAATCCGAAACACAACCGTGTTGTGAAAAGCAGGAGTGATGGTTTAAGTTTTGGATATCTTGCAGCGCTGTCGAAACGGAGAGGTTAAGCTCAGGGCTTTGTCATCTGGTTCATTTGCCGCACCGCCAAGCCATTTGCCAGCAGAAGAGACAAGAGCACGGAGCGTCTCATCGAGTCGTTTACAAACCACGGAATCAATCTGATTTGAGCCTGAATGACTGTGCAATGCTGAAGACATCGAGACCCATGCAGACTTGCTTTAGTGTCTATGGTTGGCAGTTACTATCCGCGTGCGATTTCCTTCCTCTGCGGATTTCAGAAAGGATTTTGACAGCTCGACAGCATGTGAATCCGAAAGAAGGCAGACCATGTCTTTCAGACCAACAGTAGTGCTTGAGCTGATGCTATGGTAGATATGAAACCGCCTGACTGGAACTGCACATCCTAAATAGTGTAGTAGGTTCTAGGTTCTTTATTACTAGTAGTATTGCTTGTAGTACCAATATTGTAGATATTCCTCTTATTCTAGGATAAGGAATGTTACTAAGATTCGTGAGCGAGGTCATTAAAGCTGAGGACCCCTCCCTCCGAGGATTGAGAGCAGGAAAGACTCTGCCGCGAGCCTCTTTGGGGCGTTCGGCCTCACCAATGAATACTCATAACTCATAATACTAAACCCTAAACCCTAAACCCTTAATCCTTATCCTCTTCATGGACATCGGAATCATAGTAATAACACTGAGGTTGCTGGAGCTTCTGGGTTGTGGGAGGCTTAGGGCTATGGTTTCTCGGGGGTTTTCCATGGGCTTCAGGAGCTTCGGGGTTCCCTGTGACGTAAATCCGGAAGCTGAAGACTCCGTCGCACCTCGAGCGCCACCTCGGCCCGAAGTTGGTGTTTTGGTTTAGGGGCCAGTTTCTGTGTATTCAGGGTTCTGGCACCCAATTTCGGGTGCGGGGGAATGTCGAGTTGCGGCATCCATGCTATCTGATCTGGATGTGGGCTACTGTGTGAATGATCTCCATACACTTGCAGGCTCATGAGTAGCTTTTAAGTCCCCCAACACCTGTTATAGTTAGAGTTACCCTACAACCCCACTTATACCTACCCTAAACCCTAATCCTTAAGCCCTACTTATAACAACCCATGGGCCGCCCCAAGTAGTGAAACCCCAGGTTCGGAAGATCTGAAGGAAACCCTACCCAGAGATCCCAATACCCCTTAATTAAGGAATATAGCTTAAACCATTATATTAAGATAATGTAAGGTATATTCCTTAATCCCCAGGCCCTAGACCCTAAACCCTATACCCTAAAACCCTAAGCTATATTCCTTAATTAAGGGGCCTCTTGGGCTCTCTGGGTAAATATGCATGTTTGCATATGACCATAACCGACGGGAATAGACACAAAACGACGCAGAGTCGTGGTAGCTTCAGGCCTCCGCATGAAAGCTCTTCCTACCAGATAACAGGACCCTACTTCCCCCGGCTGTTGTGGAAGACCAGGGGAAAGGGTTTAGGGTTTACCTGTAACCGAGAAGACCTACCCTTTTAAGGAACTAAGTATAGAAACCATAAATAAGGAACCCTAAACAGGTAGGTCTTTTCGGTTACAGGTAGGGTTTAGGGTTTAGAGCGCAGATGCAACTCCCGAGGCGAACCCTTCCTGAGGGATGCGGCCCTTCCAGGAAAGGGCGAACCAGCTGCACGACGGCCGCCTGTGCAGCTCTGAGCTAGTCCGGTATGCCGGGGGACCTAACCCAAGAGTTCTAGGGGTCTTTGCACCCACCCCAAGACGGAGGAATTCCAATGAAATTCCTGACCAGCAAGACCATTTCCTCTCGCCTGAAGGGCTCTTTTTGAACACGGATCCCCTGCCATGTGCTCAGACTCAGAACCTTCACTTAGCTTGAATAGTTGAGGCAAAAGCTACATCGAGACACGACTTTTCTCCAAGCGAGACGGTTCAATCGCGCACTGAGCGGCACCGAGGGTCTACACCAGCCCCAGAATGTCTCTTGCTTAGGCGTTCATGGGCATCGGGCCGCTAGTAGCTGGCATCGGCCTGGTAACGGGTTCTCAAGGTTTTGAAACAGAAGCGACTCCGTCATTTCTTTGTTGATGACGCTCGTTTCTACCTTTTTCTGCAAGCTGGTTCCTTCGGGGCTAGTGCAGAATCCACTTGGACAACCCCTGCCAGTGACGCGAACCCTTGAGCTCTGAGTTGGACAAGGCTACAACGTGTAAAGGTTTTATGACGGTCAGTCACACGAAGATTTTTAAACCTAGCTAGCCTGCACTTGGAGACAGTGACCCTAAACCCTCAACCCTAATCCCTAAACCCTTGAAACGGAACCACATCCTAGCACCGGCTTTCACTCACGCCCATTTGGCAGCTGCCGAAGAGCCTTGACACATGGCATTCATCTGGGTTCTTGTTAAGGAATTTAATTTAAGTTACCATAATAGAGATCTCTAGGGTTCCTAGGCTTCTTTTTAAGGGTTTAGGGTTCAAGGTTTAAGTTACCGTAGTATGGGTCCTATAGTAAAATAGTACCGTTTCTTTATTCTGGCCACCCTTCCTGAACAAGAACCCAGTCATGGCTGTGTAACTCAACTGCAACTGTTAGTTACCCAGAGCCCCTGAAACTTCAGTGCCAATTTCAGTCGCCAGCGACGGTGTGCTCAGTGCATGCCATGACTTTGCTTGTGGGTTTATTCCTAAACCCTAAGCCCTAAGCAGGTGATCCAAAGAGCATGCTGGATCCCTGGCTCGGCCATTTGTTCTCAAGCGAGTGAAGCAAACACTATAAAAAACCCTGGGCAATGCCGTGCTTTTCCGTGTGGCCTCCCCGCTTGGCCACGTCCATGAGCCTTGGCAGACGTTGCTGGACATGCGGGCTGCCGCACAAAACAACAGAACAAATATTCTAGGTCGTGAAACCCTAAACCCTAAACCCCAGGGGAGATGATTCTAAGTCGCGAAGCCGGTTCCTGATGGGCTCACAGAGGACCGATGAGCATCGCCCAACTCTTTACAACGAGTCTCGTGCACTACAGACTAGAAGACCCCCTAAACCCTTAACCCTAAATCCAGTTGAAGGGACCGAAGACCCCCAACTGACACCTCGGGGAGATCCTGGAAAACCGGCGGTTTAGGTTAAAACAGTACTGCCACAGTCAAGGTTCTGATTGAAGTCGGCGCAGTTCCTCAGATCACGGCGGGAAGTCGGGGGTCTGTGATGGATGGGACTTGAGATATGCCGCACTGCTCACACAAACACTCTGTGCATTCTGTCACAACTTATGGGGTTTTCCGAAAGTAAGGGTACCTTTTTCTGGGGTCCTTATAATAAGGATCCTACTATTTAGGGTACTATATCAGGGTCCCCTATCTTCGGAAACCCCCACTTATCAGCAGGAAGTCGACCACTGAGTGGAGGCAGGAATTCCCTTCCCTTCCGCGCACAGCTGGAGGTCGGAGGCGAAGCAGGCTGTGGAGGTGGTTTAGGGTTTAGGGTTCATTATATTATATTATATTGTATGATATTATATTATATTCTATCATATGCTGCAGTCCGTCAGTTTTGACTACGATGGAGCCCGTCACGGCTGCTATGGAGAAGCACATGCACACTATCCGCAGTCTCTCAGTCTTAGAGTACTAACTGCAAATGAAAGCATCTTCAGCGACGCAAACTCCTGCAGCTTCCAGGTGAACTCGAAGCCCTTCTTCCGGGCGTTGTGAGCTACCTGCAAAGCAGTCAGAACCATCAGGAATGTCACCATTTTTGAGGAGTGGAAGGCCTTCGATTCCGACGCCGTGACATGTGCTTCTTGGGCAGGGAAACAACACTTCAGATCATACTCTTTGGGTGGGCTGCACATGGCCAACAAGCCATCCATGCAGAACCGTCGAAACGCTGCAAATCGCCACTATCTTGTTGTTTTCTGTGAGAAGATACAGCAAGTGCTGCAGCATGAACACTGCTTTGCAGGCAGAAGATGAACTGAGCCAGGTAAAAAGAACGTTGAACAAGTCTGGAGAGGCACTGTCATCGAGTTGCGGGATCTGTCCGTGCGCTAAGCTCAGATTCAACGTGTTTTGGGGCCTAGCAGAAACAGTCAGAACCTGCTGACGAGCAAGCTAGACAAAGCAAAGCGGCGTAAGCACACGGCCCACAGACGACGTAGGGCTCGGTAGCCCGTGGCCGAACAAAGAGAATGATCTTCCTGAGCAGTCACTGCTGCTTTATCGGTATTCCTTACGTGTGTTTGTAGCCAACCCTACCCCAACCGAACGTCTCAAAAAACCCTCAATCCCCAAAAACACAATTGAAAAACTCTGAACCTTCAATCTCCAAGCCAAAGGCCACGAGCATTTGGCAACAAACCGTTGATCCCCCCCGAGTTGGGCGCAAATAAGGCATGCACGTCTCTGTGCACAGCAGGTAGCTCATGACATGTCAGATCACGCCCGGCATCGTGTTGTCTTGTAAGATGTAACCGATGGAATCCATGTCTGTAAGATGAAACTAACAACGGCATACATATGTGAATGTGCATATATATATATATTTAAACATATACGTGTATATATACACAGAAATATGTTTGTATGTATGTGAGCAGCCCATACCCTTGTAAAGATCAGCCACGGGATAAACAGAAGTAGCTGCCGAGTAACGTCTTCTTCTGCTCTGCCTCACCCCGGGCCTTTGACAGAAGTCTCCTTGGTGGCATCTGCCGATGAATGGAAGAAGGGCTGCGAGGTGACAGAGCCCGCTAAACCCTAAACCTTAAACCTTAAACCTTAAACCCTAAGCCCTAAGTCCTAAACCCTAGACCCTAAACCCTAAAAGAGCCTGCCATAGAACCTCTCTAAGCCCTAGGCCTCTCTGCCCTTGGCCCCCTTTTTGCAGGAAAGTCTCTTGACGATGGGTGACTTCTCCGAGGGCTTCTGCCCGCCCACGTACCAGGAAACCTGGGATCCTGGTCGCGGCAGATGCGGCCAAAGGACTAGAAATAGCCCGCTCCTTCCCTCTCTGTGGCAGAACTCCTCGGAGTTTTGAACATTGAGAATTGGAGCCCTGAACTTAGGGTTGCAGCTCTTCTTCGAACATCAAGATAGTGCGGAGAGTGAAGCCTGCAGTCGTGTGACTACTCTTCGTGTTCTTTGGAGTATTCTTCTTAATAACCTTGTTATTGCTATGATGCTGCGCAGGAAGGCATTCGAACAAGTTTTAAAGGCACACGTATCCCTTCACCGGGGCCTCCGTTGCGGAAGGTGTTCTCAAAGCTGCCACCCACCGCGTTGACCCACCTGAACAGCATCAGCTACATGCTGTTGAGGCCTCCGGGGTCCTAAGAGCTTGAACTTTCCCTCTTCTGCGTGGATGTCCGGGTTCAGAGTTGTCCAGGCTCTTCAGTAACCCCCTGAACAAAGTACATACTTTTTGAGGGTCGTTGTAATATACTAGGAACCCAGGAACCCCAAAAGTAAAACAGTATGCTACTGAGCAGCCTAGTTGTTGCGATCCTATCTACCGTGTTTCAGCCGAGACTCAGGAAGATGGCGTTCCTCAGCTGCAAATTAGCTTTCCGGGGAAGCGAAGAGGGGACCGTCGGACTCGGGCAGGCTTACTTGCAGGTTCATGGGTAGTTATAAGTGGCGTTATAAGTCCCCTAATGTCCGTTCTAGGTATAGTTACCCTACTTCTAGCCCGACTTAAAACTACCCGTGACGCTCTAAGTAGGCAGAGTCCCTAGGGCTTGGCATCGAGGCTTAAAGGGACACAGTCCAACCGCTGAAAACACCATAGTTACCCTCACAGGAAGTAGGAAGTGTCACTTCCGCAAGACCCAGAGAGCTCAATACTCCTTAATCAAGGGATATGCCTTACACCAACATATTGCGGCTCCAAAATTTAAAGGTATATCCGTTGATTAAAGGCTATCGGGCTCTCTGGGGCGTCACTGCCGCAAGACTTGCTGCCGAGTTGCTCCCACTCTGCCCAGCCCGCATACTTGTTGAAGCGAGGGGGTGCAGAGGAGATCTCCGTGCTTTTCGCATTCCCAGGCGCGAAGAACCTCAGGGCTGCATGAACTTACTTGGAGCTTCATGGGTAGTTATAAGTGGGGTTATAAGTAGGGCAACTGTAATTATAACCCATATACGGGGACGTATAACCCCCACTTATAACTACCCATGAACCTCCAAGTAGGCGGGCAGCTTTACAAACTGACTACAATACAGACTTGGTTTCCCAGCAGCCTCGCAGAAATAAGGGTGCCCTTTTTCCTATACTGTGTGGTTTTAATAAGGGAGCCCAAAAAGAAAACAAGGGCAAAAGGGTCCTACTGGGCAACCTAGCAGAGCGGCGAGTGAACATGAGGCTTTGTCATAGGGGGCTACTCAAAGCCTCCAAAGTCCCATTGCTAACGGTAAGGGGCACTAGTCTTGCCCGGGTTCTTGTTAAGGGATGTAGTTTAAGTTGCCATAGTAACCAAACATTAGTTACAAAAGTTCCCTATTATGGCAACTTAAATTAAACCCCTTACAAAGAACCTAAATCCTAAACCCCTAAACTCGATTAAATCCCTTAACAAGAACCCATTTTTGCTTCCTAAAACCCTTAAACCCTATTCAATCCCTTAACAAATACCCATTGTTGCAAGTCTTGAGAAAAGTTCCCCAGAGAGCCCAATGCGCCTTAATTAAGGAATATACCCTTAAATTGTAAGGGCCTTGATATTATGATTAAAGGTATATTCCTTAATTAAGGGGTATTGGGCTCTCCGGGTCTACCGTTCCCACCAGCCTCTGGCCAGGATTTCCGGATGCGTTCAAGCCCAGCCCTCCAAGGAGGTTGGGCTTTGGAGGGTTTAGGGTTTAGGGGTTTGAAGGGTTTAGGGGTTTAGGCTAAATTAGGGTTTGAGGGTTTAGGGGTTGGGGTTTATAGGGTTTGGGGGTTGAAGGGTTTAGGGTTTGAAGGGTTGGGGTGTAGGGTTTAGGGCTTGAAGGGTTGGGGTGTAGCATCATCGTTATATTACCCCTTATATAGTACCTGAAGCCTTATAGAGGGATAGTACCCTGTGATGAATCCAGCATAACGCTGATAAACCTTTAGCTGTGGAAGTAAAGCCCTAAGCCCTAAACCATAACTCGAACACTCAAGCCTAATCTTTGCAGCTTCGAAGCTGTACGACGCCCTTCTTGCCGAAGTGCGGGCAAGACTTGCCTTTCAGGGAGCTAAACATTGGGGCTTCAGGGTTACGGCTCAGAACTTTCGTCAGAAGGGCTTACTTGAACTTTCATGCGTAGTTTTAAGTGCAGTTAGAAGTCCCCGAACATGGGTGATCATCATAGTTACCCTGCTTGCAGCCCCACTTATACCTACCCCATGAACCTCCAAGTAGGGTTTAGGGCTTTGGGTTCTTGGTCTGGTGGTTTAGGGCGTGCACGCAGAGATGGAGGCTGTGACGCTGGTCTTTTGTTCAGGGTTTAGGGTTCCGGGCGCCACTTTACAAGATCCAGTCAAACACGGTCGCTGGTGCTTAGAGTTCAACTCAGTTGGAAGGGTTCCAGCTGACGGCGGCTACTAAACCATGAACCTAAACCCTAAACCCCAAAATCAAACCCCAAACCCTCTAAACCCCGAAAACCCACAAAACCCTTAAAACCCTAAACCGCCTAAACCCCCAAAAAGGGAACCCCCCCCCCCCCCAAACCTGGAAGTCCAGGCCTAGGTATCGCTGAAGTTGTCGGACATCCGCCTACCGCGAGGCAAAAGAAGCGCTTGAGTTCCGCTTCCGTTACACCATGGGTTGAGGACCTTAGGATTTATGACTTTAGGGTTTAAGACTTTAGGACTTTAGAGTTTAGGGTTTAGGAATTTAGGGTTTTTAGGGTTTCAGGGTTTAGGACTTTAGGACTTTAGGACTTTAGGATTTAGGGTTGAGGGACATCCTGTCCAAATTGAGGCATCTCTTTGACAATGTACGGGAATCGATGAGGTTGCTCTCGAACTGATGCTCCCGCAATGTCGAGCTACGGGAAAGCAAGTCCTGCAGTTCAAAGTTGAAAACTCACAACAAACTTCTGCCAACTCTCTGCACGTGACCCCCGGAATTTACGACCCTGTGTCAGTTTGCTTAATATAGGGGCCTTAATAACTACCTCTACTACTGTAGGGGTTCCTTATTACCATTATATTATAACATACCCCAAAACCCTATTCTAATTGTCAAGGCCCCGACATTGGGGCTCTGCTCCCGGAGACGCGGCAAGCAGACATTCTGACATCGCCTCGCCGCCGAGGGAGTGAACTGCCTCCTGAAAACCCTAAACCTTTAGAGGTTTAAGGCTTAGGGTTCCTGAAACCTTTAGGTTAAGGGCTTAGGGTTCTTGAACCGTAAGCCGTGCCTTCAGCACTTTCGTGGATTTGCCAGTCGATGGCCTTCCGCAAGAAGGGCGCAAGTGGGGAGGGCCAGTTACTTGCAGCAAGTCTGTCAGAAACGGCCGGGGCGATTGGAGTAAGAGCGCCTCGCACCGTCTATGAGGGTACAAGTTTTGTATCAAGGCATAAGCCACCATATCAAGGCTGGACTGCAACAGGCATGAGGAGTATGTAGGAACTGACACTGGCTAACAGTTTGCTCAAAACCTCCGGCACTTCTGATAGGATCTGGCTTGCCAACTTTTAGCACCTCAATACCAGGTGTCGATTGGAACAGTCCCCAAAAATGTTTGTAGTGAGAAGTCTAAATTGTCCAAAACGAGTCAGGGAAATCAGCAAGTTCTCCCAAGTCGCTACCTAGCCTTACATCTCATCTCCTATAGGTACCGCTTCTTGAAATCCCAGAACATTCCGAAAGGAGCCCTTCAAGGACCCCCCTCCACCACATCCATACAACCAAGCTTCCCGGAGAGCCCAGTACCCCTTAATCCGGGAATATTCCTAAATTCAGAACCCTATAAATGCCTACAAAACCCTTATATTCAAGGGACCCTAAGCCCTCATTCAACGTCTGTTTCCGAAATTAAAGGGGCCCCTTTGAGCTCTCTGGCTTCCTTTTAACGGACCCCTGTGAAGGCCCGATGAAGCCCTTATCATGGAGAGCCCAATACTCCTTAATTCAAGAATCTTTAAACCCTCTAATTTTAATTGGAGGCTCATGGGTAGTCCCCGTAGTCCCCTAATATAGGCTATTAGTTATATTAGGAATGTCATTAGCCTACGTATAACCCCATAAGCACCCATGAACCTCCAAGTACGGCCCCTACAACTTAAGGTTTGTTCCTCAAAAGTGAGGAGCCTACCTTAAACCAGAATCCTAAGGCCCCCATCATTTAAGGTCTATTCCTTACTAGAAGCCTGTAAACACCCCGATCAAACCCTGGAGAAGGATCCTCTGCACTGTAATTCAAGGTCTATTCCTGAATCAAGGGGCTTAGAACCCCAATCAAGATACGTATAACCTTACTTCCTACGTCCCATGACCCCCTCCACCCTAAAACCCCCCTTCTAGAACCCTTGTAGATCCCTGTAAAGGAGACCTTTTAGGGGAACCAAGGGGCATGTTCTGACTGGTTCTTAGTAGAGAACGGGGGAATGGGCTATTGCGACGATTATAGGGCACCTTAACAGACTAATTACTACAGGGATCCATTCCCTACTCAGAACCAGGGAGTGTTGGGCTCTCTGGGAAGCCTGGGCCCAAAAACTCGGCCTTCCCAAGGTCAGCGCCGCCAGCGCGGCGCGCCGCCGCGCAGCCGCCGGCGCGGTTTTCACCATGATTAGTAACGCTTTAGGGTTTAGGGGTTTAGGGGGATTTAGTGTTTGAAGGATCGTGGTATGTATGATGCTGTCAGGGCTGTTTCGGGTTTCGGGTAGAGGATCTTGAAACCTGGATTTAAGGAATTGGGGTTGACAAACTTCTGGCGAACTACGTGACTGTAGAAAGCGAAGGAAAGATGGTGGCATTTCCCTTTTTTGGTACACTTGCTAAAGACGATCTCTCTTAGGGCCAGGTAGAAAGACTCTGGGAAGCTGCAACCAAAGCCAAACATTTGGGTAGTTCTCTAAATCGGGGTCCCCTTTAGGGTCTTTTCTTTAAGGGTGTCGTGCTATTTTGGGGACCTAAAACGGGACCCTCATTTGGAGAACTACCCATCTGTATTCTAGCAGAGGTTCGAGCTCTTGGCATTGCAAGCCCAGCTGTGTCCTCGAACCAATCCTAAACCCTAAGCCCTAAACCGTAAATCCTAAACCCTAAACCGTAAATCCTGAACCCTAAACCGTAAACCCTAGGGGAATTATA